CTTTCATTCGCGTATAAGGAAAATTACTCAACTATTTATTTCTATTGCTTAAAGTTAGGTTATTGCTGTGTAATGTTCTTTATTTAGACTTGGGTAACATAATAAAAGCCGACTGCAGTTTGTAGGTTACGAGTTTTACCTTATGTCCCACGGCCCATCTAAGTGGTGAGTATGAAGATAAAAAAGTTGACAAAACCTGTATTTTTTTACAATCACGGCCCAGTACCTTTATAGTATATAATTTATAAGTTTAAAACATATTTGGACTTAAGGTTTTTGCAAAATTATTTATCATAGATATTAATAGTTATACACTTTGGCTATAGTCAATACCTATATAATTATGTCTATATTAAATATACATATTTACTGTTGTTAACGTGACTAGTAGACAATAAAATAAATCACTTTTAAGATCTAACACTGCATATCTACACCGTAACGTTTTGGATGCTTTCCATCTGGTTTTAATCATTATATATAATTTTTTTTATGAAATATACGTTCTCTCTTTTGAATACTCAAAAAAAAAACAAAGGTACAATCACCATCATTTTAAACAAACGTCAATTACAAGAAGTAAATTTGATGTCGTCAGTAAATATCTGATTTATAACAATTTAATTTCCCGGATACGAACCTAAGATCTTTAAACGTTTAGCGTTAGGCAAAACGTTTAATCTTTGAGTTATGGAGGTGGTCAAAATCATTATGAAAATACTTTTAGCATTTGATACATCATCATAGAATGACGTAAATCAAATGAATATTTTATGCTAATTACGTGAATGTACAAAATGACGCCAAATTGCACAGATCATAAAGACCTGGGGGATTACCACGAGGCAAACGTATTATGAGTTTTACGTTTCAATACAAAGTAAAATTATGTATTCAATATTGCCTATTGTACGTTCCAACATTAATATTTACGAAGCGGGGAAATACTTTGGACAAGAAAATCTTAAAATAATTTAAAATGTATTTAGGTTGCAAAAATTGACGACAGGGGCAGGGTTCGAACTGGCCTGCACAACAAACCATGCCCCTCTAACCAATTAACCTACTGTAGGCGTTGGTTAGAGAAACAACACTAAACGTTGTGGTAGTGGGATTGAGTTCGGCCAGTGTACATTTTATGAAATAAAAGTAAATGAAACGTGTATACATATACGGTATGTATCTTTTATAGCTATAAAATAACTACTTTTTATAGCAATAAAGTTGCACTTGAAGTTTGTTATTTTAAATACCATTTCACGGTTTAAAGTTTTATTAATTAATAAAATTCTTATATACAAATGTTATATTATAAATATTCAATTTTCGAGGAGCAATGATCGCGAAAAGAACTTACATATATTATATTAGACTTTTAACACTAGACATGACTAACGCTAATTACAAGTGTTATAAAATAATAAACAATGATGAAATCGCATCAAGGCAATTATTATCTACGTTCTAATTGAGAGAGTCAAAGTATACGCTAGTCTTTTAATGCGCCTTTCTTGAGTTTTAACACGTAGTCTGCGATTACAATATTTACATGCATTCAGTAAGTTGTAGATTATTTTAACATATCTTATTTTGTATAAGGGCACAGGAATATTCTGAGATTTAAACTAATCTATTTATCTATATGAATGTTGGTGCACAGTTGTTTTGTATTTCGGTACATGAATTTTCATTAAATTGAGAATCGATTTTAGATTTTAAAAAAAATACGATATAGGCGAGGATTAAACCGGCCACAACGTGCCCTGTTTACCCAATTGAGGTACCATGAAAATCCATTTCAAATACGTTCCATTATTCGGTAATAAAAAAGTTAGTAGCAAATTTCATTTTATACGATTTTTTCTTTTTCTTTATTGAGACACATTTTTCAATAAAACACTTTTAACGGTTTTAACGCGAATTGTATCAATTTATCTCAAAGTCAAGTTGACAATTTCGATGGCGCTAGCATAGCTTATTTGCGTTTGACGTTATAGACACCCTCCATCTTCAGCCCCCTCTTGAATACGACTGTAGAAAAACATCCGAAATGTCGGGCTGTAGTTAGAATAAACTGTACATAAGTTAACTAACATATTTCGCGTTTTAAACTGTTTATATTGTTTTATTACAATTTGAACTACTGTCGTAAACGGGTTCGTTTGTTGGTTACCATTTTTTTTCTATCTTAAATAGTAACTACTTTAATATAATAATTAGTTGCTTATTTCGACCATACTATTGTATGTGATGAAAATTGTTAAAAGGGAAAACTCATTCAAGATTTCCTCCACAACAGTTTATGTTTGTCTTAAATCATTCCTGCAACGATGCAAAAGACTGTAATCTATTTTTTGTTAATCAGTAACTTTTGGTTTGATACTTTGAAAATGTTTATGAATTCATTTTATCGGTCCTAAGCATGCACTTATCTCTACTTTCTCGTATTAATCGTAAGTAAAATGTATTTTTTTAATGCCTAGCGTATTTAAAAGAGGGTTGAAGCTGCTTACACATATTATAACAGCTACAAAATACTTTTAAAGGTGAGGGTCGTGTTTAAGTAAGCAGATAATACTCTTAAAGTGTTGTTCAAAGTTTATACAGTTAAGTATTTTTGGTCCAAATACAGACAAATTAGAAAAATATACAAAGTGTATATAATAAAACTAAAAAATAAACGAGCTCAAAAATAATATTATGTATCAAATAGGATATATCTGAAGCGGAATATAGATAAAAAATAAATAAATCAAGCTAGTGTGAAAATAGTGAAATGCCGTTTGCCTCCTTGGGACATGGGGCATTATGCAAACATCTGTGTTCATTTAAATAAATTGAAAAAATTTTCGCCTAGGGTAGGACTTGAACCATCAGCGTTCCGTGCTGTTGCTCTACCAATTGAGCTACCGAGCCCTAAACCTCATCGTCGAATTATTTCAACTTATTGAAAATTGTAATTTCAACTCAACACTTGCGTATTAAGGCGTTATTGCGTATTTTTTCAATTTATTTTCGATTTTTAAATTATAAAGTGCCTTCATGTGCAATATCTTGTAAACAAAAATAGTTATCATCTATGTTCATTTCACTAGTCGATTTTATTTACAGCCTAGCACTTTATGATTGTTTTCCGTAATTCGAACCCAAATCTCGTGGTAAAGACAAGATACGTTTTTAGGTAAATTCTCATAACCTGATATTGAAATGTGTGTAGAAAAACTATTAAAACATGTCCATGTAATATAGTTGCATGTACGTTTTTATTATCCAGCTGTGTACATACGTTTTTTATAGATCTAAAAAATCTCTGCACAATGAATGTTAGTCGGACGCTGATCGTGTACTGAACATTCGCACAATCTAAGAGAAACAGTTGTTCAAACAATTGGCTATTTTTTGTGATTAAACTTGATTGTGCGTGTCCTTTTGTGACTCAGCTAGATTTCGGGAATTGAGTACTTATTTGACATGTGTATCCTATATAAGTATATTAATATTTCCAGAAATCTATAATTTTAGAATTTAACTGCAGTATGTAAACATATTATAATTATTGTCTATACGTTATTAACTTGGTTTTAAAAATAAAATATAAGGTCAGCATGGAGTCCAGTACATATTTGGATAAAAATAATTATTTGAAATCACTTGACAAAAAGTTTAAAATGCGAAATACGTTATACTAGCGCTGGTACATTTTGACTTTGACGATGTCCCTCGATTTTCAGTCGTGACCACAGCTACAAAGCATCCGAAAAGGGCTATAGTTAAAATAAATTGTAACTAACTTTAAATAAAAAATGTAGGCGTTTTAAACCGTCGAAAGTGTTTTATTTAAATGTGTACCATTCGCGAGGCGAAAAACAGTGTTTAAAAAATAATTAACTAATGTACCGTGCTCTTTTTAACTGTAGAGGTTATTTAATTTAGGTAGAAAATTCTAGATTACCCTTGTTCTGACTAATTTTGAATAGTTTGATAGAGCTTTAATAAATATTTCGACAAAATTAAATGTGTGTATAATTTAATGAGAGTGCATAAAGAATGTACCAAAAGGAATTGTTCTATATGATTTGACAAAAAATCTAAAATGTAAAATTGTCATATGATTATAACTAATCACAGCGTAGTCCGTAGGGCGGGTTCAAAGGAAATGAAAAGCAAGTATAAAATGGTTATGACGTATAAAAGCGAATGAACACTACCGCAATGAGATAAAGCCCCTATAAATAAATTCAGAACAAAGGTATTAAAGACGAAACAATTAAGTGCTAATTAGAGTTAAGTGTCGCATTAAAAATACAGAATTGTAATTTAATTAAATACACCACTTTTTTGTCAATATCGCCTTAAAACAGAGGACGAACAGAAACCGGTATTTTTGGTGTTCGTTATTCATTGACTAACTGTGCTTCGCTGTTTTACGCATGTTTTGATTATATTATTAGTAATAGACAGTATACATATCTGACTCTAACGTATTTACTGACTAGTTTCAGCTGTTTTTTATATAGATATAAATACCAGACTTATTTATAACAAGTCAATTTAAGAGAAAGATGGACAAATGCTGTCGCAGATCATTTTTATGAAACTTCAATACCCATAATAAAATCTCTGCTCTTAAAAAAATTACTTTTGAAATAAAAACTTCTTCAGCGGAGTTGTGCACTTTTTTTGGGTAAATCATGTTAAAACAAGTTGAAACAAATAGTGATTTCAAATTCGTAATATGGTGAAAGAGGCCAACATTTGTTATTATATTTTTGAACGATATGGCAATAAAATTATATTATTTTTTACCGTCAAAGCGTCAGCCATCTAAAATACATTAATATTCAAATTTCGACTTCGACCGAGTTTGCAACCCTCATTTAATTCCATTATAATAAGAGAAAGATGATGACGATGCATATAGCCATACTTCCTACTTCCTAAATAATTTCTCACATCAGATCCTATCGGTTTTCTTGAGCTGAACAAAATTTCAAACTCACCGTCATCAACCTGAACGACATCTGTTGTCAGCTCGACGACAACTGACACGTCATACGTGTCGACCTCCAGTTTCTTTGACCGCAACTTGCCAATTTTTCACCGACACTAAGCACTGGGTAACATTGTACCTTCACTGACACTTCAACTGTAGATAATATTATATTATTATTATTTCAGTAAGTTCGAGTTTTATCTAGACTTTGTCTTTCAATGAGACGTCTACTAGACGGCGAAGCGCGCTCCTTATTACCTCAATGCTACAGGTAAAATATTAGTGCTCTAAGAAATAACTACGAACTCTATAATCGCTGTGCACTTGACCTTAGAATATTAATTGATTTAGAGAATTCTCTTTAAGCCATTTCTTAACACGGTGACAACGAAATTAAAATAAAATTGTAATTAGTAATTACTCTTATTATAACTTTAATTGATCAATTAAGTAACTCACGTCAGTTCTATTTCTATGTTGTTTGAGACATTTATGCACAAGATCTCTCTTCAATTTACCGATCCTGTACGACCGAAACTGTTATATATTCCTCGAGATTCGAACTTAGGACTACCGCCTAATACAGTAATAGTAGAGCCACAGACGTTCAAATAACTATATAAATAACATAATAGCAAGTACACGTGACGTCTAAAGATAAAATATTATAAGATTAAAACGTGTAAATAATGTACCGTAAAATAAGTTTTAGAATTTATTATGCGCGGACGACGATTACGTAATGCAGCAATTATTATATATTTTAATAAATAGCCGTCTTCTATCGCAACTGATTCGTGCAAAACTGAATATTTCTAGAAAAGAAATTCTATTGAAGTTATAATAAAATGAATGGCTCATATAAACAAATATAAATCTAGATTGCGTATTGTCATTTGATAAACTATTATTTAAATCGTTCCAGTATTTTTATTCGATCGTTATATTCAAGTTCAAAACAGATAGCTATTCAATGGAGCGCGAACGCATCTAGGCACGTGATTCATGGAAAATTAACACCAAGGTATCGATAGTAATAAAACACCAGCGACTTTACAAAGTGGCGAATTACAAAGACGGGCCCGTCGAGATTTTCCGAGCACAACAATTACGTCGTTGTTTCCGCTAATCTCCGCTCATTTCGTTCTGCTGGTAACTTCACTCATCATCATAACAATGATAGCAGAACAATAACTTGAGATAACGTCGCCGCGAATACGAAATGAATATTCATGTGACAAGCGAACTGCCACTGTACAATCGGAACTCACTGTTCGGTTTTTCGCGGGTGATAAGCGGTATCACTACTGTCTAGAGACGTCTCATCAGATGCGGTCTGACAGTACCTGTGCAGGTAACGCGTGCGAACAGCTCAGTGTTTGCCGCCCGAATGCCGGCTCGTATTATTTACAACGGTAATTACATTTTCGATCGAGTTTACAGGTCGGTGCGAAGGCTGTCGCTCGGAAAATCTGGATGGCAGCCAGATACCCGCGTCACAGAGTGTCGCTCAGGGACTAGAATGCATAGGCTTTGTTTCACAGACAATAACATTTTTATTCGATGACAATTGGTGACCATAAAAATTATGGTTCTGTAGACTGTCACATATAGATAAGGAATTGATAGTGCACGTATATAATGCATATTTATACATGTACGTAAATATCAAGTGTATGGGACTTTGGCGACTTTGTTTTAAAGATGCGGTCGAGAGTTCAATTACAGCGGTGTACTGAAACAGCAAAAAGGACTCCATACTTAGATACTTAAGCTTGTGTTCTGATCAAATATAAACTATTTAACGGTTTAAAGCGCAAAATATATTAGTTACTTAATTACAATATATTTTAACAAGGGCCCGACGTTTCGGATCATTTGCAGCAGTTCACGGAAGGACTGACCAATTTAGCGTGGAGATCGATTATAGTTCGTTTTATAAGATATACTTACTACCTACTTAGCTTAGATTAACTCATTTAATCTGTAAAAATATTATATAGACTTGTAGCATATAAAAAGAACTTCTCTAAATGAGTGCCATTAGCTTGACAGCAACAAGCATGATAAATTTCAGGGGTTTTAGGACTAATTAATTTTAAAAGAAGTAGCACAGCACCTTTTATTCTCATACCATAATATAACTCGAGTAAATTTTTGATTTTAAAATTGGTATTTGAAATATTCGTAAAAAAATATTAACTCTTAATACATAATTTCCATAATGAAAAATCAGGTTCAAAATGGGTTGAGCGCTTCGTTTCACGCACACGTGTCACGCTTGGCTCCTAAATATAATACGCTATCGTAGATAATAACACTTTCACACAATATCGTTTTGAGATATTTAAAAATGTAATTAATAGAACTTTCCTTAGCAACACATTAGTCATTAGTGTTAAAGTTATTTCGTTTTAAATTAGTTTGATTATTTTGCAAGAGCCCTTGAAGAGTAATCAAACTTCGGTAATGATTAAAGAAGATTTTTAGAGAAATTCACATTAATAAATGTGTTATGAGGGTACTTCCAAATTTGATTATATTTCGGACATATAAGTGGTTAAAATAGGGGCTCTTTACTTAAATTTTTAATTATTCCACGAAAACTGAAGCCAAGTCATTCGACGTCTAACACAATAAAAAGTATACCTTACAGAGTCGGTCATTATCTATTGTTGCAATATATGGGACATCCTTTACATTTCAAAATGGACGACAAATACAACGTCACGTCTTAATAAAACAAACACAGACTCGTGTCAAACGAATTAGAGTTAATATTGTCACAATAAACTCGCTAACAAAATTGCTTACAATTACGTTTATTACACTTTTAAAGACCTAGTTAATCGATAGCTTTAAATATAACTCAACATAGTTGAATAACAAGACGCATAGTACCATCAACCCTCTTTATAGTTCCCAGCGCTGGTAATAGGATAACCTACTGGTATATGCCGTGGCATCGGTGTCAACAGTTGATACACGTCGTCAAGTCTGGACGGTTTTTTCGCCGTTTTCTCGCAAAGTTTTTCTACACTAGAAGGCACTAATTTTAGTCCACCACCAGAGACCGAACTTCGTACCACTAGATCAGCACAACCTAATTTACATGATGTACCAACATCGAAGGTTTCGTCCAGCCAACACAAGCAAAACATATATACATACCAAAAAATAATTTTTGCACAGAGCCCAGAAATTTACATTAAAATCTTACTTCATTTTTTTACATTAAAATCGTGCAAATATTTTTTTACGTACATAGAGATTTTACGAACTTAAATATGTAACCCGATGTAAAAAAATGCAAAAAGCTAAACAGAGTATCAATATGTATTCCTTAATTACATAAGAAGCTAAACCAACTCTGCTCACGCGCACAATAAATGAAACAGTTTACTTCGAACAAAGCAAATTGCAATGTGTCGTTTGCAATTAATTATAATAAGGTGTTTTAACAGTCCACCCTACTGTGCTCAACAAGCGTTAAAAGCAAGTTCATTATCCTCTTTATTCACTTACTAAAAAGCGAAAGATGTATTTTACACGATATTTTATGATATTCCCATAATGTAATTTTTTAATTAGCTAGTTACTAGAGGAAGAAGCTTAGTGAGCAGTAGATTTTTTTTAATCTTTTTGCCATCCCCCACTTTGATAGAATGACCCGAGTCCTACATTTCGTCTCTCCCTTATCGAAACCGAAGACGTGACATGAGAAGCTGAAATCAAAAAAGTTCTAGCAACATCGATTAAACTGTTTGTACGTAAGCTCATATTAAATTTTGCAGTGGGGTGTCTATAAAATGTCTCATTGTTTTACGCATGGTTCCTTAGTTCAATTAAAATAATGGCATAAGTTGATTTACATAATAGGTACGTGATATAAGGAAAATAAAACCGCGACAATAACGAGATGTAACGTTGTATGTTTGCGGCGAGCCATCAGCATAATACGGCGATAAAATTTCGCAAAATCACGTGACTGCTATCAATAAGTACTTTTTAACAGGTGGGTAAACTAAGATGTAACAAATCAGCTTCTACACACAACTGTTCAGGTCGATGCAATATTTTCATGCTGGTTTCTTCTCGATATTTCTGTGTACTTTGGAGGGTGTCATAGTATCCATAAATATTTTTGGTGTATTTTTGGGGTTGGAACCCCCAACCCGATTTACGAAACTATACATTTGAAACCACTCTACATAAAATTCAATAATAATACGTAATATTAAAAGTACATAAGATTAAATTTATAAATTGCAAATTCGTTTAAAAATTTACGACTTTTTTATGAATTCAAAGTGCCTATAACTTTACCTGCATAAATTACTAAAATAATTGTGTTTACCTATTTATTTAACACTATTTATAAATCAATTTCTATAATTTATGTAAAATAATAAAATGTTAGAAGATGTTTGAGTTATTTTTGTAACTTACAATTTATTATTTTATTCAAATTTTATTAAAATAAAACACTGAACGGTTTAAAACGCGATATACATTAGTTGGCTGCTGTAAAGCATGCGAAACGTCGGGCCGTAGTTAAAATAATTTTCAAACAAGTTTTTATAACGCGTATTAAACCGTTAGTGTGTTTTTTAATTGTGTACTGCTCGCGTAAACTACGGACAGTATCGGATCCTATTATATTAAGATATAAAATGATATCCTATTAATAATTCCTAATATTTCCTAGAAAAATGATTTATTCGAATCGCGAATTGCATAGATTCATGTTTTTGTTCTCAACACATAAACCATACCAAACCAAACCAAGATAGATATATGATCTATGTTCAATATAGGATATTAATACCAATACGTTAATTAATAATTTAATATATTCTTGATAGGTTTACATACGATTATCATATTATTTCCTACTTTACTGAATTTGATTTTTTTTTGAATTTGAATTTGAACTTGAATCTCGGAGAAACAATAGAATGTTTCGGTCGGACACAGAAGGCTGATCAACTACTTACCTGTAAGTGAAACGGATCAGTGAAGAACGGACACAGAAATGTGTTCGCCCCATGCCCCACGGGGTGCAATGGTAAATGGCACCTTATGCGTTTATAACAAAAGACGATAGACATTCATAAGGTTCACTCAAGAGAAGGTAAAAATATCTTCCCATGATATATCCTGTTTAATTTTACACAAGGGTTGCCTGGAAGAGATCGCTCGATAGTGATAACGCCTCCCATTGCACTCCATAACTTGTAAGAATAATTTATCGTTATATCTTCTATTATTAAGAATATTTTTTAAGGAAATATGTATATATTGTGTAGTTTGTTTTTGTGTGTTGCAATAAAGAATTAAACAAATAAATAATAAATAAAAAGCCATTCAACATTTACAAATAAAAAAAAATAAAAAGGATATCGAAATGAAGGTTTATACTGCATAGTTTTTTTGAACGATAAATGATATTAGCTGACTCCAGACGAAGGCCGATAATAGATTTTTAGAAGCAAGAGCCCAAGCTGGAATCGAACACACGACCTCGATTTTTAGCCATACAATGCTAATGGATCAACGAGCTAGTGTTTAATATTGCTTGCATTGATATCTGCAAAGTACTACATTACACTAGTTAGTCATAATCCAAAAGGGTTTAGTTACTCAAAATATTATTAGTATGTTCCTTTAGGATGTCTGACTAACATCGTGTATTTCATGACTAAGAAGACATTGCTTTTATTTGATTCGTCACTGCAGATACTAAATATTTTTAGATTCTTGCGTATAGGGTTGAGGATTAACGGAAGTTTAAAAAAATATGGAGTAACTGCGAAACGGTATATTATGTTTGAAAACACATGATAGTATTACATAATTAATAAACATGTAATAATATAAAAATCAGCGATGCCGGTTCAAGTCCTATCAATGTCATCAATTTTTCAAGACTGAAAATAATTTTAATGTTGGTACAGATATTTGTGTTTAATTCTGGCTGCAGTATATGGGACACCCTTATATTTTAAAATGGACTACAAATACAATGTCACGTCTTAATAAAACAACTGAGTCGTGTCACATTGAAAAATATTAACGATGTGAGTTCAACTCCCACCCGTGTCACCGATTTCTTTCATTCTAAATAGATTTTTAATTTAAGATCTGTTACGTTGGAATCAAAATACATTTATAATGGAGGTACCAAGCCTTGTCACTGTTAATACAGTTTAAGAAAAGTACTCTTAATTTACTTTAAGTTACAAGTACAAAATAATAACAAATCTGCCTAAACACTATTTTTATTGCAAAATTTCATTTAAGTCTTCATGTATAGCATTCTTAGTCTAATTAAATACTGTCTGTAGTTTACGCGAGTAGTCCACATTTGAATAAAACACTTTAACGGTTTAAAACGCGAAATATTCGCGAGACTCCAGTCTCCCCGTGACCACGGCTGCTGCAAAGCATCCGAAACGTCGGGCCGAAGTTAAAAATCATTTCCAAATAAGTTTAACTAATATATCGCGTTTTAAACCGTTAAAGTGTTTTATTTAAACGTTCTTAGTCTTTCTATTTTTAATGAAAAAAAGAAACTTTATTTTTACTGTATTTGGGTATAGATCGTATATACGTAGTACATTTTCACGTCAATTTGAAAAGTAAATTACATAAACATGCGTTTGCGCATTAAACGTTTTAAGCAAATAATCTTAAAAAAGTTCGTGTCGAGACATTTCACACGACGTTTTACAGGAAATAACAAAAACAATAAGCATCACGAGTATTTTTGCAAACACTGTGCAGCGCAAATTATTGATACATGAAGTCTATATTTAGATGGACGTTTTGAATCTAAGTTTTCCGCTCTTAATGCGTTCGTGGGCAGATTTGTGAGGAAAATTCCACAAGTAAGTGATATTTAACGATTTGTACACTTGAAAATTCCGTTGAACGTAACACAGTTAAGCACAAAAGGTTCTGTGTTCCGGGGAAGCATTTTTTCGGTCGAGCAGAGCACAGACGTCTTATTAACTACTTAGGCGTAGAAATATGTTTGTTCTACGCCCAGGATATAGCGGTGAAAACTATTTTACTTTAACTATAACGCAATGCAAGATAACTTGTTATATAACAGTCGGAGGTGGTAGACATTGTAATTTCTGCTTGCTCAAAAAAATTACTAAAAGTTTTTTAACAATATACCTATTTTTTTAATTACTAACACCTACCTACCAAGTTCTAACCATTTAATTAAAACACCTTAACGGTTCAAGAAACGAAGTATATTCATTATCTTATTTACAAATTATATTAATTACCACCCGATGTTTTCAATGCTTCGTAGCGGCCGTGGTCACGGTGGCAATGTGATCATGAATTATTTCGCGTTTTAAACCGGTAATAGTGTTTTATTTATATGTGTAGCTACAATCTGTGTAAAGTACAGAGAGTATTTAACTAGGTAACTGCTATTTTAATATTATTTAATTTTAACTTATATAAAATTAACATTAAATAGTCTATAATATATTTGTCTGTATATATTAGCCTTACAGAATTGAAGAACCAGCTATTACCTGTAATAAATAGAGAATCCAGTATTAACTTTTTGTATTTAATAGAAGAGACTGGGTTTTTAATACTAAATAAATTAATTTTGTAATAATCTTCTCAAATCATTTTTCGTTTTATGTTTCTTTACCAACTTGTACCTACATTTCGTGTATTTGTTTAATTAAATTGCGTAATATTTTATTTGAAAATTAGCATTATGTATCGTGAATCACGTTTGTTTGTTTTTTAGATTGAAATCTTGTGTTTAATTTATCATATTATTCGTGTGTTTGTTTAGTGATTAGTTAACAACCAAGCTTATAAAATACTGTCTGTAGTTTATGCAAAAAGAACAGATTTAAATAAAATACTTTACTTTGACATTAGAGACACCCTCCATCCTTAGTCTCCCCGTGACCACGGTTGCTGCATCCTAAACGTCGATAAAAATGCCTTAGTTAAAATATTTTGTAAAGTTTACTTAATACATTTCGTGTTTTAAAACGAAAATGTATTTGAAAGCCAACCTATATAGTGCAAGCTTATAAAAATCACGTTGTATTTTGTATCATAATCTTTAAAGGGAAATAACATAACTTTTTTTAGGGCATACCAATATAACATC